CAAGATATCACCATGCAGGCATTTAGTTTTCGTCAGACACAAGATAAATAATCACTCTCATAAACGTATATATGCATGCAGTTTCAAATTTCAAGAACAAGCGGTCGTTGTCTATAGATCATTGTTAAATCCGTTTACTCACTGTTCAGAGTCAGACATGTCACTTGTTCAGTCTTGGAAGCCTTCATATACCCCATCCGATGATGGGAACTCTTTCTGATAGTGTTGACAACATAAGCTTGTTTATCTGTACAAGTGGTTGCATGGCCTCTCCAGCCCCAACAAACAAATACGCTACTTAAAGTCTGCTATCTCTGGAGCTCATCCTCAATGGCGCTTATACGTCAGGAAACTTACAAGTATACTAGTAAAGATTGTTTCAAGAACAACGAGGTTGGGACGAACTGCTCTAAAATCGTCAATATCAGTAATACATTACTAAGATATGCCTTTAATTACAACAACTGTATTACTAATTTGGGTTAATGACGGCTATCCTAAAAAAAATTCTCAAACAAATTAATGCATTAGCTTAGATTTATAATGTATGTATAATATATGTATGTAGTTTCTTGTGTATAATTTGGAGTTTAGTATGACGTCCATTATCACTGAACTAGTATACATATTTTTTTAGGGGCCAGCTGAAGGACGCCTCCGGGTGCGGGAGTTTCTCGCTGCATTGAAGACCCATTGTGGCCTTCGGCTGTTGTCTGCTCTATGGTCGGGTTGTTGTCTCTTTGACACATTCCCCATTTCCATTCTCAATTTTATCATTAATGAAATAAACGATAATTGGTATTCTTTTCACAAATAATTTGTCTAAGTGATTGTCAAATGAATTTAATTATGTAAGATTGAAATGTTAATAAGAAAATTAAACAAAATCATGCATGTTGTACTGTTGTATTTTTTCAATTAAAAACTTTAAAATTGCGATAGTTTTACGATTGTTAGCATTTAAACATCGTCAGATTTAAATACAAGTTAAAGAATTCCGGTAAAGTAAATTAAACAGATGTGCAATGATTATTAATTGGGAAATGTAACATTTAATTTTTAAGATTAAAAGTACTATTCTTTTATTTTCATATCTTAACTTTATGCTAATCGCATAGAACGTAACCGAAAATTGTTCCATTTTAATATTTTAACACTTCCGGAATTAAAAAGTTGAATGTTAATTTTCAATTAATTTATACAATTTGATTATTGTTTCTCTATTTTCATCGGGTATTTCATCTGGGTATATTAAACACGCTGTACTCTATCTGTTAATCCATTCAAAATGACAATATTCACACCTGTGTACGCCTGAGGCTAAATTGCTGCAAGGTAAAGTTCAAACGAATTCTCCTCAAATCGAGAAATAAACAATGCCTTTACAAAATAATATACACACTCTGTTCACAAATATTTTGCATTGAAATGGTTATCAAAGTTATAACGGTAAATAAAACTTAAAATATTTTCAGTTCAATATCAGTAAAAATGTTCTATAGATATTTTATGAAAAAATCTCAATAATTTATGAAATTAATTCGAAAATATTTATATTTAGATAACTTCATATAGGAAGTTTTATTCAATACAAAACGGTACACACATATTCATTTTCTTTCATTCTTATATTGTGGTTATTAACTACGACCAACGGTCATCTGTGCGCTTTTAATTACGTAAAATTCTGATCAGCAATAAAAGACTTCAACAGATTTTATTTTTTCCCATGATTCAACAAATCGGATTAAAACGTCACAACCCAGTGACGTAGGTCAACCAAAAAAGTTACAAATACTTGATTTTCTCCGTTATTAGAAAGAATATAAATTTAAAACTTTGTGAATGTGTTTTTTATGTTAAGATGAACATATTTAGATGATAAGTAAAAAATCGCGGACTTTCCCTTTAAATATAAGTATTTCATGATTTTAGTAAGACTTTTTTTTAGGTGAAATTTAACACATTTTGAACGAAATAAAATTATTGTGTGTTACTTTCACAGGATTTTTACTCTGATTACATCAATAAGACATGGTTCATATGTGTGCCAAATATCTTTCGTGTAATGTTAATCGGTGGGAAGAAAATAGCAATTTAAAACACAAATTTAGTGATAATTCTGCCTTGATTCAAACACGCCTTTTCTCGTGCCGTTAATTGTTTTGTAGCTTACACAATCAGGTTATTAACTAGGACAATTGTCACTAACGTCCTTTTTGCTTGTTATATGGTCGATTTGTATGTTTTGAATAGTCCAATTAGTTTGAAGATCGTTGTTTTGTTTTAGGAAATATTTTTTTTGTTGGTTTTTATAACTTTTATTGTTTTTTTGAAATGATAGTTTTGTTATGATTGTAATATACAAATCAAATCCTTCAGTCACGTTTCAGACCCGGAATAGGGCACACATTCACAGTCCTGTTAAACTATGCCCATAAAGCCCTAAATGAAGTAGGAATGAAATACAATGGGATAAGTGTGTTATATGTCAGGGTCCTTCTACTGAATTGCTTATTAATATGCGAGGAATTAGCACAAACAAAAGCTTTATCGAAGCTATGGGAGCACGGAAAGATCATGTATATTTTAGTATATTGCATGATGCTTCAGACCTAGACCATCTTTGTACTGATGATTACAAAATATTGTACCATAAATCTTACACTAGCAGACACAACTGCAGTTATTTTAGAGCTGAATCAAGTTCTTGTTCATCTGTAAAAGTGTTTCAGGTCATATATAGAAGGCCGTCAAATTCTTGACTGGAAAAAGTTTCTTTGAGTCAGTGAGAACCAGCAGGCCTTAATCAGATTTCTTGGCAAATCGATTGTTCAGCATCATGGCAGATCAACAGTTACTATGATACATGAGGAAGTCATTTATCTAGCTAGCACTTACAATAAATCTGCTCAGAAGAAGTATTCAGGTTTTAAGAATTATTTTGTACGCCCGATGAAGTAAATACCCGCATGATTTTACATGCTTTTCATGTAGACAAAGAGTTCGGAGTGATAGGCATTAAGGGTAGGATAATAATAAAGTCACAAGATACAGATGTTCTGATCTTATGCATTCAGTACTTCCCCTCCATGCAGCATACGCATGAGCTATGGTTTCCAACAGGCACTATAACTTGCACACAAAATTTGCGCCACTATATACCTGTCAACAAAATATGTAAAAGTCTCGAGTTTGCCATCTGTAACATTCTACCAACCGCACATGTTTTAACATGATGCGACACAACGTCATCCCTGTTTAGGATCGGTAAGCGCACTATTTTTTTAGTCTTGAAGGACAACCCAGATGCTTTCACCGAATTGTTAAACCTTTCTAATTGTGACATCGATGAATCTATAGATGCAGCTCGATATCTTGTTGCTACGTTGAATGATCTCAAGTCTAAACTCAAAATATATCATTGTGACCTAAACAAATTGAACGTAAAATTGGCTAAAATTGTCTGTTCTATAGTCGGGTTGTTGTCTCTTTGATACATTCCCCATTTCCATTCTCAATTTTACAATTTAAAATTTCTCCCTTGTCAAACTTCCTCCTAAAGTGTGAATCTACTTTAAACAATGTTTAATAAGAGCTTCACTCCAGACATAAATTTGATGTCTTCCCATATAGCAAAACTACCCTACATTCTCCTCTTCAGTTCGGATGGGAAAAGAAGAATGACTTATATTTATTAATTGTTCCTGTCTATCTCGAAGGTCAGATGTCATATGCATTTCTGCAAGATTTAGTTTGCGTTTGCTTCGAACAAAATCTATCATGTACAGATTTATGCCCATGACAGGCAAATGACAAATGTCAAAATGTAAATACTCGTCTGGTTGCAGTTAGAAACATTGATGACGATGAAGATGTAGATGTATAAGATTTCATTTTTCTGTTTGTACCTTATGAATCATTGTTAGCTATCGAATGAAAATTAAGCAGTCCATAATCTTTTCTATAACATCTACTCAATTTTGAAATCGTGGGAAATATAGTAATATTCTATATATCTAGTGGGGAAAGATATGTAAAAAAAAAAACCAAAAAACCCTGCCATATGGTCTCTGACCTTGACGTGGTTGGTGGGCTTAAACTTCAGGAGACCATAGAACGTAGTAGGTAATACTAGCTTCGATCATAACTTTCTATTTGCATTTGTTCTTTTTTTTTCATGTTTTTGTCATGCTGTTTTCAGCTTGTCTTCATTTTATAAGTTTTTAATGTCCCTTTGGTTTCTCACGCCTTTTTTGTTTTTACTGAATTGTTTGTAAAATACATTGGTGCTGTACATAACCCTCTCCCTTATATTTTGGAATACTTGTAAAAAAATATCTTTAGATCTAACTTGTTATGAATTGAATACAAAAATTTCAAATTTAGAAATTGAAATAGGTCAAGGTCACTGTTATCTAACAGCTGTTTGAAAATTTCAAATTTGCACCCTGTATGCAAAAAAAGTCAATCTAAAGTCATTTTTGGCAATAAAAATATAAAATAAGTTCTAAATGTAGATACAAAAGATATTTTTCTATAAATTAGTTGTTTTTATTTTGCTCCAAACGCATATATGTAGGAGAAACAAGCTATCTAAATGTGACTGAGCATTTTTCTGGAATTTTTGCTTTGACCTATGACCCTGATTTAAGAAAAACGTCACCACGGCAGACAATGACGACAGCGGTATTTCGATGAGGTTTGTTCTCCTCTTTCCAATAATATAAAATATAGCTGTGTGTTATTCCGTTAAGGCAAATCGAACAAATTTCTTGATTGGGAACCCTACTATATTGTATTGTCAATTTTAAAATCAGGTTGAGCTATAGGTAAAGTTATACAGTAACACCCATAGTCAACTCACTGTGATATAATATTGACAAAAGTAGCCATTCAATAGATATAAGAAGATGTGTTATGAGTGCCAATGAGACAACTCTCCATTCAAGTCACAATTTATAAAAGTAAACCAGTTTAAATGTTTAATACTTTCTTACCTTCCATACAGGAGTATACTTCTCCATCTGAGCAGTAGTTACATCTGTTCCCATCACTCCTAGCATGGTTTGATTAGCCTGTTAATACAAAAAGTAATCAGATTGAAACACTTGAATGTACTGGATATTACACTGTTAGACCTTTATTTGCTTAGTAATTAGTAATACTTTATTAACTTAAAAGAACACCAGTTTGCAAGCCAATTTAATCTCATTTCACTATTTTAAAGTGACTGCTTTATCTTAATTTTTTTATCACAAAATGTTCTGCACAAATAACCAAAACAATATATCTATTGCATAGCTTCAGTCTCCTGCATCTATTATGATTTAAAATGTTGCAAACATCATATTTTTTTTTTTCATTTCTTGTTGTGTTATGTCTTTTCAGAGATCTCGAGTCTATAGACCATTACACTGAAAATCCTCAGCTATCAAAAGAAATCACAACCCTTCGATCCTTTTATCCACAATATCTCAAGGAAGAACATACTTAACCTCACTTATTTTGTCTTGAATATTCAACATAATGGGTAGCTATAAATTGTCAATATTTTAAATATCATGGTTATCTTATAAAACATCATAATGTAAGTCTGAGAAAATTTCAGGGTTGAAAAATATATCCATACCTGACGATCAGCATTGTCAGTCTTGTTATAGACGGGTAAAGTAACAGTTGTCATCCTCCCTAACCCCTACAAAGTGAAAACATATAAACTGTAAGAATTGGATATCATATTTGTCTTCAGTCAACATGACCTTATATTATAATCACCATTTTATCTATTTGCTCAATTTATAAAAACAGTTATTTGACTTTTGAATAACACTGAAATTAATTCTTGACATAAAATGATTTTTAATAATTGAAAGTGTAAATATTGCAAATTTCTTTAAAATGCAGAGCATCTAAATCACAAGAAATTATATCTTATTAAAAATATTTACTATTTGAAACCAAATATGTACACAATTATGAATGGTACAGAACTGCAAATATGCATATGAATTATTCTCTAATTCTTCGTCAATTTATCCCTTTCTGCACCCATTGTATAATAAAATGCTCCGCAGGGCGCAGCTTGATACGACCGCAGAGGTCGAACCCTGAACAGTTGGGGCAAGTATGGACACAACATTCAAGCTTGATACAGCTCTGAATTTGAATTGTGATTAAATATTTGACACAGCATAGGTTTCTGACACAGAATGAATGTGGTCTAAGAACTTAAAAATTTTATCTTGGACATTCAACTATTATGGTCCAATATCCAAAATCTAAATACATGGTTAGATTCAGCATATCAAAGAACCCCAAGAATTCAATTTTTGATGAAATCAAACAAAGTTTAATTTTGGACCCTTTTGACCTCAATGTGGACAAAGTTGATAATGGGGCCCAAAAATCAAAAATCTAAATACATGGTTAGATTCAGCATATCAAAGAACCCCATATATTCAATTTTTGTTGAAATCAAACAAAGTTTAATTTTGGACCCCGATTTGGACCAACTTGAAAACTGGGCCCATAATCAAAAATCTAAATACATGTTTAGATTCAGCATATCAAAGAACCCTAAGAATTCAATTTTTGTTAAAATCAAACTAAGTTTAATTTTGGACCCTTTGGACCTTAATGTAGACCAATTTGAAAACAGAACCAAAAATTAAGAATCTAAATACACGGTGAGATTCGGCATATCAAAGAACCCCAATAATTCAATTTTTGATGAAATCAAACAACATTTAATTTTGGACCCTTTGGACCTCAATGTGGACCAATTTAAAAACGGGGCCCAAAATCCAAAAACTTAATACACGGTTAGAATCAGCATATTAAAGAACCCCAAGAATTCAAGAATAAAACCCCATTGAAATTGGTCAAGAAATAAGCAATTTATACGAAGTATCTTCTTTTGCACAATACTGTGCAATTGAATATTTCTTGCTATTGCGCAATACTGTACAATTGACAATTTCTTGCTATTGCGCAATATTGTGCTATTGGATATTTCTTGCTATTGCACAATACTGTGCAATTGAAGATTTCTTGCTATTGCGCAATACTGTGCAATTGAAGATTTCTTGCTATTGTGCAATACTGTGCAATTGAAAATTTCTTGCTATTGCACAATACTTATTATATAATAATTTACACATCCTGTTTGGTGTGTATCTCCTACCATATCATTATTATTTGCTTTTAAATATAAAACAGAAATAACCAACTTAAAATGGAAAATTTTAAAAGAAAAAAAAAAGGAAAAAAAAAAAATCCCCCCCCCCCAAATTTTTTGAACCCCCTTATGATTCATCACCCCCAAACTCAATCCCAGCCTTCCCTTTGTGGTATGGTACCTTGCAGTACAATTTCAGAGAGATCCATACACTTGAACACAAGTTATTGTCTGGAAACTAGAAAAATGCTTATTTTTGGCCCCTTATTCCTAAACGTTTTGGGCAATTACCCCCAAACTCAATTCCAGCTTTCCCTTTATGGAATGGAACCTTGTAGTACAATTTCAGATAGATCCATACACTTATACACAAGTTATTGTCATGAAACTAGAAAAATGCTTGTTTTTTGCCCCTTTTTGGGCCCCTAATTCCTAATATTTTGAGGCAATTACCCCCAAAATCAATCCCAGCATTCCCTCTGTGATATGGAACCTTGTGGTACAATTTCAGAGAGATCCATACACTTGAACACAAGTTATTGTCTGGAAACTAGAAAAATGCTTATTTTTGGCCCCTTATTCCTAAACGCTTTGGGCAATTACCCCCAAACTCAATTCCAGCTTTCCCTTCGTGATATGGAACCTTGTAGTACAATTTCAGAAAGATCCATACACTTACACACAAGTTATTGTCATGAAACTAGAAAAATGCTTGTTTTTTGCCCCTTTTTTGGCCCCTAATTCCTAATATTTTGAGGCAATTACCCCCAAAATTAATCCCAGCATTCCCTGTGTGATATGGAACCTTGTGGTACAATGTCAGAGAGATCCATACACTTACACACAAGTTATGTCTTGAAGTTACAAAAATGCTTATTTTTGGCCCCTAATTCCTTAACTGTTGGTACCATAACCCCCAAAATCAATCCCAATCTTCCTTTTGTGGTATTGAACCTTATGGTAAAATTTCATAGAGATCCATTCACTTAAACTAAAGTTAGAGTGCGAAAACCAATGTGTCTTCGGACGACGCCAGACGACGACGCCAACGTCATACCAATATACGACCAAAAAATTTTTAATTTTTGCGGTCGTATTAAAAAATTTAATCAACGTGTGGTTCGTTTGATCTCAGTTCTTCATTGGTTAAAATCCGATTATGACGTAGAATTTTCTTGTTTTCCTCTGAATTTCCTATTGTGACGGCATGAAAATAGGCGACCATGTCTGATGACGTCACATAGAAAGAACACATCTTTTTGCAGATCAGTCGCAAAGAAGGAATAAGTTTGCCTGCGTATTGTTTGAAAATCATTAGAGAATCAGATTCCACCACCAAATCTAGTGTAATACGATATTTATCCACTCTCAACAGTTGAATTTTAAATATTTAAAACGCTCGGTGAGCCTCGCGTTTTAAATTTGAAAATTTAACTGTCTCGAGTGGATAAATATCGTATCACACTCGATGCAGTGGTAGAATCTATATTTATCAAATCCTTTTGTAAATTAAATAAATTATCAAATTATTACTGATACTGTTTAATTACTGAAATATCTTATTAACAGATCTATGTATGCTGAATAGAATAATTAAAGTTAAGTTTGATCAATATAATATTTCTGCTTTTAATTATCTACTTGAACAAAATAAAAATTACAAAACCAAGTGTACAGTTGTCATTACTCCATTTACTTCATATTATTATACCTGAAAATTTCGATGTCGATCGTCCTCTGTCGCCCCATTGGCAAGATATTCAACTGTTTTTCATTATTTTTCCAGACACTTTTTTAGATTATTATAGTTTGGCATCATATTTACTGAAATTTGTTGTCAAAATGAACGTTTTTAAAGAATATAGACCATAAAAAATAAAGTCTAGGGTACGTCAACTTGCTCATGTTGACAAATTTACAGTATGGCAACTTGTTTTCAACTGTATGGCAACTTGCTAATTTCATAATATTTATTTGACGTTCTTAAAGAAAATAAAGTATTAGGTTCAAATATATAATTATGCATTTGATAAAAATACAATTCTCTTGACACCATTTAAGATGTATACACAATATAAGGCTTGAACACAGTCCTATTACATCTTTTACATACCTGATGTATACAATATGAATATGGCATATACAAAAGCTGGCAAATGTTGTAACTTTCGGAAAGGCATGTCACTGTTTTACTGACCTGTTGTTCTGCCCTGACGTAGCGTTAAATGCTACCCATGTCCGTCCGACCCGTCTCTCCCGTCCGTCCAGAAAGTCCCAATAATTGGTTTCCGTTCTCTAACTTTAGTATGCCTTAACCAAATGTTTTAAAACTTACACGAAATACTTATCACCACAAAACACAGATCAAGTTATAAATTGGGTAGCGTCACTGTTACCGTTCTTGAGTTATGCCCTTTTATAAATGAAAAAAAGCTAAAGCTGTCGTTTTTGTTCTCAAACTTTAGATTGCCTCAACCAAATGTTTTAACCATACAACATTAGTCAGCATTTGCATATAAGTGATGGAACATTTTGGGGATGGGTTGTGGGTGGAGGGAAGGAAGGAGGTAATGGCAGGAGAATTTTTCTGCATTGAATATTTAGAACCATTAAGTGAATGAATTCTCTTTCAATTTTCAGATAAAATGAAATATAAATGAATTATCGATCATTCTCTGCACAAAAAAAAAATGTTGTATTGCTACACCACGGCACCATGTTAAGGGAGGTTTGAGTGCTCACAATCATGTTCAAGCCCCCCTCAATATATATGTGTCTGTCCCTGGTCAGGAACATGTAATATAGCGGCTGTCGTAAGTTGCTGCCTGACATATTTGTTTATGATTTTGTCATAAATCAGGCAATTTTGATACGGTATGGGTTTTGTTCATTGTGAAGTGTATAGTAACCAATAGTTGGTCAAATCTATTTCATTTGGACTTTGTTTGAAAGTCCTCTCAGTGAAAACCATTCCACGTCTCCTTTTTCAATTAATGTTATTGTCTTATTTGTAAAAGGCAGATACAGCCAATACATTAGAATAAAGAACATTAATTTTCTAAAAGAAAACTTCATCTCTATATAGTAAGAAATGAACAAGCTCGGTGGCTAACACTGTTTAAATCTAAAAAAAATATTAACCTTAGATTTATCATTTTTGGAAAGAATGAAAGAAGAATCCGATACAAGGGATACAAATCCGGCTATGACTACGGCATAAACTATTTATATAAACTTTCTACTTGAGAATAAAGATGACCTTGTATGAAGTTTTTTTTGGTTGTCATCTTAATATTATATACTTATTAATACAATTCACAAAAGCTAGCATCTTCGACTTGTAAGTTTAAAGAATTATAATGAAATAACATCTAATAAGGACAGTTTGAAATATTTTTGAATCCTGATGGTGCATACTCATAAATTCTTTTGGAAAAATCCATGTAAATTTAAATGTTGATTTGATAGCATTCATTTATTTATTTGCCTTCGTAAACAGTTTTGTTAAAATACCAAAATCGGTAAATTCTTATCGTGAACGAATAAGTCGGGTACACCTTTTTACATTCAGGCGTGCTAAAGTTGCACTTTTTTCTTCTTATTAAGAAAAATGATTTTAATTTTAGCATCTATCTAAAGATTAGATTATTTACACACACACAAAAATAGCTAGGGCTTACTGTTGATTTTGAAACTCTATGAATTCACATTTATATTCAACCAAACAGATAGGCCGAGATCCATACCTTTATAAGTTTCAAAACAGAGAAGGTGTGTTTGAAAACAAATAATCACGTACTGCTATATCTTTTAAGGCAAATGCAAGTCTTACTTGTATTAATTATATAATTTTAATTGGCACAATATCACATTAAAATTTACTGAGAAATATTATACATAGTAATCATGAAAATGTACTACTGTAACAATGAAAATTCGGACGAATACACTCCTTTTCACTACCCCTCCATCTACTCATTTAAGTTTAGGCCAAACAGCCTTAGCAACAGTCTTTTATTATTTTTTCCCTGTAAATAAAAAGATTGATTGAATTTACTTAAACTAAAAAAAAAAAATACAATCTTATTTTCAATAAGAAACAAGAAAATTAATTTGAAACACAATTCATGATTTATTTCTCCTAATTTTCAATGAAAACAAAGTATTTTCTTCACTTTTCTTTTAACAAATTATTCATTTCAGAAATTTAAAAAATAAACAATAAACAATGTTGAAGACCGTACCTTGACCTATAATGGTTTACTTTTATAAATTGTGACTTGGATGGAGAGTTGTCTCATTGGCACTCATACCACATCTTCCTATATCTATTTAACCCGGCACATTCTTTATGTGTCTGTCCGAAGCCACGAGCCTGTAGTTTGGTGGTTGTCGTTGGTTCATCTCTATATTTGTTATTTTTCGTTAATTGTTTTGTTATGAGTTAGGCCATTAGTTTTCTTGTTGAATCCTTCCACAATTTTCATGTCTGGGCTTTTTATAGCCGACTGTAAGGTACGATTTTTCGTTGTTGAAGGCCAAACGATAGCATATAATTGCTTACATACACTTTATTTGACCCTGGTGGACAGTTATCTTATTTTCAATCATACAACATCTCCACTGTTTATATTTAAAAAAAAAGAACAGCGCCAACAAAAGATGAATGGTCGTTTTTTTTTATTGAACTTACAAAATTTCACCCTGACAACAAATAAGACAACAGTCGTTAGTATTATAACGATATATGAATGTATTTAGGATAATATGGTTGAAAAAAACCTTTTTGTCTTTAAAAACAAAAAGTCAAATAGAAGTACGCAACAACGACTTCTGAACGAAATTAACGGCATATATTTTATAATATTTGATAAGTAGTTTATTTTGTATATTTGTAAGCCGGTAAAGCTTTGATACAGCCAAAATTTCGTCACTTGATATTATATAAACAGTGATTAATTTCATCTTTAAATTACAATATATTGCAAGACGCCGTACAGACAAAAGTTGTTATTTTGCAATTTGCCGTACAACGTCCTGCAATTCGCCGTACAATAAACAAACAATGTTTTAGTCTATATTCTTTAAAAACATCTTTATGACAACAAATTTCAGTCAATATGATGTCACACTATCATAATCTAAAAACGTGTCTGGAAAAATAATGAAAAACAGTTGAATATCTTGCCAATGGGGCAACAGAGGACAATCGACCTCGAAATTTTCAGGTACTAAGTGGCAAGCTTTGGAGTATAACACAAAATCTTGTCGTAATTTTGTACTTATCGGCCTAATAAGGGATCATAGATTTATTCTTACGAGGAAGCTCCGAGCATGCTTGGAGGATGCTCGGAGCTTTTTAAGTAGGCTCTTCTCAGCAGTTTATGTGACAATAATTATCATAATCCATTAAGATGTCAATCAAATCTATAGCACTTTTATAATAAGGAAAGTAGAGCATTATAGAGGAAGCTCCATTAACACCTGTGTAAACATCTGGTATATTCAAACAAATCTTGCATTAATTTTACAAAACTATAAAATAGATGAGAAATTCTTCAATATTACTATACAATGCTTGGTATCAAGTTTTCACAGAAAAAAATGATTTTAAAACATTTTCTTAATAATTATCATTCTTTTTCAATACACATGATACTAAAAAACACTCAAATTTTATATTTAAAATATAAATATATTTTAAATTTATACTATATAAAATGAAATATAAAAGTCATCAAAGACACAAACTATGGTTATTGATTTATAAATATACTACCAAAACATAGTACATTGAGTTTCATGTGAAAAAGGGTTGATCTTTTTTTATATTCCATTTAATTTGACAGTTGTTTGGAATTAACCCTCCATTTCATTGCAGAAAAGTTCTTTTGAGTCGTAAACATGTATCTTGGGTGTTTCAAAGCAATAAAAATATACTATATTCTACAGGGAAAAAAGGGGGAGAGAATTTGATTGGTTAACTTCTGGTGATGTTTACTTTCTTATATGCATTAAAAAGTTATGCTATATTTTCACTGTAGTACAGGACAGGATAAAACTTTATTTATGTCAAGTATTTCTTTATTTAAAACATAGATAAAATTCTGCACATTTTTTTTGAAATATAACAATCATGACAATTAAACAAAGACTTATAGGGGGAAAATAATTATACTCATGCCAAGTATTTCTTTATTTAAAACAAAGCTAAATCTGCACAATTAAAAAAAAATGCCAAGTAAAGAGAGACGTACTAGAGGGAAAACAATGGTGGTATTACCCCCTCAAACCAGGCTTCCACTAATGAATTATAACTTTTCTTAAAGTAGCCATAATTTTCTATAAAAGAACTTAGTTTGCTATTTAAAAAAATCATATTACCATTGTTTTGTTAGGGGCATTATTTAAACAAGTAATTTTCAAAATAACCTATACAAGTTATGTTGAAAACGAGGCTGTTTCAAATATTACTTCTATATCATGAATAAGTAACTTCTGTTAAAATTATTTGTATAGGTGTCCATTCATACAGGTTTTACTAGCTTTAACAAATTTTCACAGACATCTGTTTTTTTTCCCATGAAATATACTGATAAAACTATTTAAATCCTCAACAAGCACTAATTGCTTTTCTGATGCCACACTTCTTGGTCAAAGATTGGTCTCTTGGGGCTATTAAAATATCATTTCCCCTTAAAATCTTAGAAATAGACAGTTATAACTAGATATGGAACCTTTAATTAAGACTTGAAGTTATTTATAATTTGAATCTTCATCAAAAGCAATTACATATATTCCTTAAATAATTGTAAGTACTAAGTTTTTTGAAGTTGTATAAAATAATTTATTAAAGTACCGGTAATATTTTTGTCATTATTTTTTAAAGTAACCTCTCTATACTCATCTCAAATTGGATAAATACTTAATTTTATTTAATGAAATGATATAAAAATTCTTAAAAACTACATTTAGTCCATGCTTTATTTGACATTTAAAATAACTATTGAGTTATTAAATAATTTTTAAAAACAAAAAATACTTATAAAAGTGACTAAAAAAAATTAGTTGTTTAGTATCACCACCTGACTGTTGTTTGTGTCTTGATAATTTTTATGTAGCATGTTATATAATATAAACTATCTCTAAATCATATCATCTAGTTATAAAATTTGAGAATTTTTTCATTATAAAAAAAGGAATGATTATTAAATATAATAAGAAAATATTTAAATGACTTTTACTTTTTGTGGAGACTTGAAATTTCTTTCCAAGCATTACACAGCACTGTTGAAGTATTTCTAATCTATTTTATAGTTTTATAAAATTTCATGCAAAATGTATTTGAATAGACCAGATGTTTACACAGGTGTTAATGGAGCTTCCTCTATAATGCTCTACTTTCCTTATCATAGAAGTGTTGTAGATTTGATTGACATCTTAATGGATCATGATAATTATTGTCACATAAACTGCTGAGAAGAGCCTACTTAAAAAGCTCCGAGCATCCTCCGAGCATGCTCGGAGCTTCCTCGTAAGAATAAATCTATGATCCCTAATTTAAAGAATTATATATCAGAAAATCATTTCTTAAGCGGTATCCTTGTCAAATCAGTAGAAATGCTTTAAATTGAATGAATTCTTACCTTGTTTACTTTTTTTTCCATTTCTCTCCGCTTCGTTAGTACCCAATTTCTGGTGGCGATGATACACAGTGAGTATGTATATATAGAATGTTATGATCAATGCACTATATTTTGTGGATCAAAAAAGGTCTTGGAAGATTTAGATATCAAGTCAGTCCCACAAGGTTTTCATTGCATTTCATGCAATCTTTACCTAAAAACTAGATGAGTCGAAACGAATGGCCCTGTCACAAATCTGCAATCACAACAACACATGTGGAAACAAACATGATGGTAGTCTCACATATAACTGTGATTTTTAACAATTTATCAATGTCCAAAGCCCGTAATTTCGGCAAAAATTAGCAAGCAGAACTAAACATAAACTTGATCTGTAACTCATCATGGTAAACTCACATACCAAAAATCAGCCCAATATCTGAAGGCATTTAGAAAAAAAGTCTATAACTGTGATTTTCAACAATTTATCAAGGTCCATTAGACATAATTCTGGCAAAAATTAGCAGAGCAGAACAAAACTCATACTTGCTCTATAACTCATCATGGTTAACTCGCATACCAAAAATCAGCCCAATATCTGAAGGTGTTCAGAAAATAAGTCTGTATAACTGTGATTTTCAACAATTGATATAAGTCCAAAGCTTGTAATTTCGGCAAAAATAAGGGGGGGGGGGGGGGAAATGTAACTCAAACTTGATATGTAACTCATCATGGTTAACATACATACCAAAAATCAGCCCAATATCTGAATGCGTTTAGAAAAAAAGTCCGTATAACTGTGAATTTCAACAATTTATAGAAGTCCAAAGCCCATAATTTCGGCAAAAATTAGCGGAACGAAACTCAAACTTGATCTGTAACTCATCATGGTTAACTCACATACCAAAAAATCAGCTCAATATCTGAAGGCATTTAGAAAAAAAGTCTGTATAACTGTGATTTTCAACAATTTATAGAAGTCCAAAGCCCATAATTTCCGCAAAAATTAGCGGAGCAGAACGAAACTCAAACTAGCTCTGTAACTCACATACCAAAAATCAGCCCAATATCTGAAGGCGTTTTGAAAAAAAATCTGTATAACTGTGAATTTCAACAATTTATAGAAGTCAAAAGCTCGTAATTTCGGAAAAAATTAGCGGAACAAAACTCAAACTTGATCTGTAACTCATCATGGTTAACTCACATACCAAAAATGAACAAATGATCTGAAACTTCTTTAATTCATAAATCATCTTAATGTATAAAAGTAGCAATAAAGTATTTAAGGTGGGGGGAGGGATGTGGAAATATCTGGTAACTTACCTCCATTCCATTGTCATCTTAAAGAAGGGCAACAAGTTCACAATCTGTAATTAGAATACAGTAATAATAACTATCTTTGAATTTAAATGCTCCTCTTTCAATATTAATACAGCATTTGTGTAATAAATTCATATCTTTCCTCTTTTCAAAGCTTTATTGTCTACACTGAAATATGCATGTACCTTAAATTTAAACAAAATATAACTCAACTTATAAACTCAGACTTATTCAAGAACATACCTTGAGAGATTTTGTTCTTGACATCCCTCATCAGAGGCCCCAGACCTGGCTCATTACAGCTGTATGGATTACCCAGCAACCTTCCCTGCAGGAAGTCTTCTTGTTTGGGTCCTTCTTAAGGAGAAGAAGAAATTCTTCTACATCATTTTCCTCCTGTAATTTTGAATGTATTTGCATTGGAATTTTAAAAACATATGTTTTAACTTTAATTGTGTTCTTGTTCCAATTGGAATATGAATTTCTAAATCAATAAAAAGTCCATTTCATATGTAAATCATTTGCAATCTATTCCACAGCTGACAACCAGAAAATCATTGACATCATTGTGCAATTGCAATAGAGATTTTCATATACCTTTTTTATAATTTTGAACATTTTATGAGTATTACATTAGAATAGGATTAGTAATAATATCAAGTAGTTGTAAATAGGACAATTGATGATGGCAAATATTGCATTTATTTGCTCTTTTCTTCTGAAATGCCAGTGAAATTGCATTTAATTTGCATCCATCAAAGTCCTAATTGATAGTGGTAACACCTAAATAACTTCTAATTAAACTTAATGCCAAGTGAAAAAAAAAATAATTGCTGAAACTGAATATCATCCATGCAGTGCTCATGGAACTTCTTGTACAGATAAAATAATGAACATTGATATTCAAATAGCTAGTTCTAATCTTTTATATGGGTTAACTTACAGGGAAAATAATACTACAGAGCCTCTCAAAGATGAACACTGGAGATCTGTAATCATCACAAGGATATTTCTTCACTGTCTTCATACAGACCCGCATAAACTCTTTAGTCTCAGACTCTGTACCTGTTTAACATAATGAAAGCAGTTAGAAACACACAGAATTACTACATCAGCATAAAAAATATGGCTTTACAACTTTAACAATGACATATGCTTGTTTAAAATTTTACCCACATTATATAGGCAGGTAGTGTTAACTGGGCATTTGAGGATGAAAAAATTGCTGTCTCTGTTCTAAACTGCAAGTAAACATACATGTGATAGGTAACAAAATGTTGAAATAGATAGTAGAACATAATTTTTTCTTTTATTACAGCATTTATAGTCAAAAAACAATTTACAAATGTATATACAATATCAATTTAACTAAAAATGAATAATAAAGCCTAAAAGACAATAAATTAAAAAAAGAAAATTACAGGCCATTGCTTTTCAAACATTTTTATACAATACAGGGTATACTTACCACTTGTGAGTTCCTCCAATAACTCTAACATTTTATCCTGTGTATCATCTATCAGTTTAGTTCTCTGTACCACTAGTTTCTGTAGAGACAGGTAGCCATTGAGAACATATCCCACCAGTTTGTTCTTGTAGTGTTTCAGTACATCCTGTTCTGCAATCTGAGCTAGCAACTCTGAAATAAAACAAGCACGACGTAAAAAAGTGTGCAAAACTGATTATTTTAGTGAATTTTTTAAGTCCAAGGACTGTAACTCTGCACAAAATCAAATACACCCTCATTTGAAAGAGGTAAATACAACACTTTAGCCTGTATATCTTTCAAGTTATTTAAACCAGACTCAGTAGCTGCAGCTTTCCTGCATATCATATGGTTAAACGTCCTACCTGATCAAGAGACTTTGTCGAAATTGCAAACAAGTCCTTCACTATTTGACAAGTTTCATCACTAACATTTTCATTTTCAACCCTCTCTAATAAGGTTCCTAATGTTTGTTGCATATACAACACTGATATAAAACCCTTACGTGAAGCCACCTGCCCTTGATAGGCTAGATTTTCTATCTGTTTTAAAGGTTGAGTAACCAACTGCTTGTGTTTATCCCATGACTTAACACTATTTGTACCATGAATAGTTCTTATCATTGGTTCTAATTAATCATCCAAACTGGGTACTTGCAAAAAGCTTTTAGATTTATCATTAACCGGAATACAACTAAGGTATTCATCTTTAAATGCTGAAAGTTTCTCTGGATTTTTAGTTCTCCAGGAACGTTCTAGAATTCTAACCTGTGCTTCATCAATGATCAAGCCACCAGAATTATCAGAAGATTCTGAAGGAATATCTTCTTTGAAAAGCTTAGACAATAAATTTAAATTACCTGACTGCTTGTCTACAGTTTTATTGTTATTATTATCAATGTTACTTGTTTGTCTCTGATTTGACTGACTATCAACATTGTTACTAGTAGTAGTAGGTTGAGTTTGTAAATATTGGCTAAATCTATCAACATTTTGAGATTTATTACCAGCCTGAGAATAAACAGGACTTCTTATGCCAAGAGAATCTTCATCCTCTGATGAACATAGACCAAGTAAATCAGCCATAACACGACTGTCTATATGTAGAGAAATTTCTGACCTATTGTCAAAATCAACATTTCTAATTCTTAAGGACTTCTCAAGTCCTCATCAAGATTTGCATTCAAAGAAATTACCGGTCTACGCTCCCCTGTACTTGGGACGTTATCCGAACTTTGTTCTCTCTGCGTGGCTAAACCACCAGATTGAGAAACCTCTGCAACAGTCGAACTTAACCTGTAGTAGCACATGACTTGTTCAAAAATGCAAATAACATATCTATTTTCTTATCAAACATGTCTTCCATACTGGTTAACTTATTCTCAAGTTCAGCCGTCTTTGACACACGTTTCTTTTTCTTTGACAAAGAGTCTTTTGTTGTCCTCGCCATTTTTTTCACGCGAATGTCACCTGTTGGCGTTTCACCTGCACTATCTGAATCTAAATTTTCAGCATTTTAGTCAGCAAGTGAGTGTCTATACTCTTCAGCCTTGATGATGACTCGTCCAATATGACCGGACGATAATATCAAACGTACATATAAAAAAAAATGTCAACAACGACTCTACTAGAAAGTCTCAGACAGTGAGAACGTCTTATTTTGTTGCCGCCGAAAGATAAACTGAGGAAGGTAGACACCCGGATGATCAAGGTTAGATAGATGTTTGAAATCATCCAGGTGTTGCGAGTTATGAGAACGTTGTAAGGGAGATAATCCTTATGTATATTCCTTGACTGGTAAGTAAAAATATATATGATATAAAATTCAAGGGTATATTTTTTTAACCTATTTTCATATGCAACCGGATGTGACATACTATGATTTGGTGGTATTACTGTGATCTATAACAAGTTATTCCTCAGTACATGTAAAATATTTAGTAAAAGATGTGACTGGTTTGGCATTAAATCCATGCTCAGACAAAATAGATTTGATGCCATTTTCACCGTCTTAGACTGTTAAATGCTAACTGTAGATGTTTCAGACAAAGTCAACTCTGTGCTAATCGCCTAGCTGTTAGATTGGTTATGTGTGAGGCCCTTATCAACAGAATGAAAGAATCTGTTAACAAAGCTGGATTGAATGGAAAAACATACTTTTCTGAATATTTAAAGTGCTCAAGAAGTTGGAACAGACTTGTAAGTACATCATCAGCACATGCATTGTGGGCATCATATTCTATGCCAAGTAATTTTGAGACCAAGGTTTGTTGTTTATGGTTTCCTATGTCTTTCGACTTGAATTTCCTTCTTGCCAATTTTATGGTATCAATGCACCCATAGATTTGCAACATGTAATTCTGAAAGCAGACTGTGTTGACGTAATTTGTTCATCAATATGGGAATGTCAAATGCATGCAGCAATGTTATGATAGAATAGAATGGATTTCTTCTTTTTGCTGATAAATTCCAGTAAAACAATTTGAATATCTTTGCTTTCAACTGGTTTAATTTTACCATGATGGTACATCTGGCCACAAGAAAAATCAAAAGTCAATCTTGTTAATTCTGACACTTTGGGTGATATAACCTCCCTAGGTGATACATACTTGTTAAATACAGTGGTTCCGTCAAATGTAGCCAGCTGAGTTATATCAGACTTCCTTGATAATCCTGGAACAAAATTTTTAAAAAAATTCATTAATAATTAAAGGTTAAGTTTCCCTAAATGTGAGATGACTCCTTCCATATCAAGTTTGGATTAATTCTGCTATACAGTTTTTGTCATATTCAATTTACAAATTTAAGTGGCAGCAAGTATGAAATGCGGCCACTTTGAAAGCTTATGGCTTCTTGAAATGTGCATCCATATTCATGGGAGTCAAATTTCTTGATTACAAAAAAAACAAAGTGTTTCGATTTTGGCAGGTTCTAATTTTAGCAGTCCACCCTATTTGCACATGAACATTAGATTGCGATTTAATTTTCATCTAACTTAATTTTACCTATCAAGTACCTCAGAAAGCAAAAATTAAATCATCGCCTATAGGGTATGCTTTCAAACTGTACTCCATGTCAATTTTATTTTTTATGATGGAAGGGGCATAACTGTTATGAATATGGTATACTCGGAACTACATATACTTTGGTTTACTATTACCAATGTACACCTGGAAGACTCGGATACTAAGGAATTCCGGGATTCCCCATGGTATATTGGACAGTCATTACCTAGTTGTTATCCTGATCGGACGTCCCCATTTGATGAGCGGCCTGATAGACGACAAATGACTCAAGCCTAGGATTGTTATATTCAGGTAATATAACGCATACACATACCCCTATAAAATCATTACATAACTCCCAACAAACATAAGTAATATATCACTTGTATTCCAAGACTATCATTGAAGTATTGCCAATACAAGTTTTGGAAATACCACACAATGGACGTTTACTATGTACTACGCTTTATGTAATGTCATTTCACCTCGAAGTGTTGCTATAGGCTTTGCAAATACAATTATCAAATAGTAAAGCAATTATTTCACTTACTTACAATAACATTGTAAGCTTATTTCACTTACTTACAATAACAATGTAAGCTTATTTCACCTACTTACAATAACAATGTAAGCTTATTTCACTTACTTACAATAACAATGTAAGCTTATTTCACCTACTTACAATAACAATGTAAGCTTATTTCACTTACTTACAACAATGTAAGCTTATTTCACCTACTTACAATAATAATGTAAGCTTATTTCACTTACTTACAATAACAATGTAAGCTTATTTCAGTACTTACAATAACAATGTAAGCTTATTTCACCTACTTACATAACAATGTAAGCTTATTTCACTTACTTACAATAACAATGTAAGCTTATTTCACCTACTTACATAACAATGTAAGCTTATTTCACTTACTTACAATAACAATGTAAGCTTATATTATTTCACCTACTTACAATAACAATGTAAGCTTTAAGGTCACAGTAACCTATTCCAGGCATCTATATTTGATTAAAGTGTCACTGATAAGTAGGTGTCTGGGGTGCCATTTTTTTTAGCCTGATATCTGTGATTAAATTAAAGAAATAATTCATGGAAGCCATAGATTTGTTGGAAATTTACACATGGCCTGGGCCGTGATATTCGAATTTTATCCTGAGCGTCTATTTTTCTGCTTGAGTTCTTTTCATTTTTGGTATAAATAGTTCGTAGAAATTTTGATACTTCACTATTAGTCACAGTCACAGTTAAGTAGGGAAAAGTCACAAGAGAATCAGCATGTAGGGACAGTAACATCATAGTCACTTAGGTGACCATCCAGTTAAGACAATAAGTGAGTTCCAGGAACAGAGTACCTACAAGTCAAGTAGGAGAAAAGAAGTTAGCTTCACAACTGTGACCAAACAGTTCGCTCTTCAGTATCCAACTGGCGCGGCAACTCAGGATATTCATAAGCTATCAAGGATGTGGTTTCAGACCCAACAACTGCATGGAACAGACTCAAACTTAACTATACAACATCTAGTACAGTTACAGTTAACAACAGTGTGGAAGGAGTTTGGAGTGAACCTACAGAGTAGCGTCTGTATCTAGTCTTGGCTATGCAATCAATTTTCAGTTATCACAAGATTGGCCACCAATCAACTGGATTCATTGTACGCCTCAACCAGACAACATGGGACAGACTAACAGCTCAACGGCTCAAGACCTTCAACTCAAGATACTGCTTCAACTAAGTGACTCTAAGGGAGCTACCATTTGATATTTATGGGGGGGCTAGGATGAAAAATTTTGTCCTGCCTTTTTTTTTAGTTGTAATCTCTGTCCTGCCTTTTTATTTTTCACTCTGTTCAGTCCTGCCTTTTTTTTAAAAGTTTATCCTGACTTTTTTTTACCTAAATCGTCATCCTGACTTTTTTTTTGCAAGTGTCTCATCCTGCCTTTTTTTTTACTCAAAACTCCTGTCCTGCCTATTTTTTTCAAATTTCATCCTTAGTCCCCCCATAAAAATCAAATGGTAGCTCCCTAGTAACATCTAAACACCTTTGGACAATTCAAATCAACCAACCTACTCAGAACATTTCCATAAGTGATTCAGACATTCTCAACCTTAAAATTGGTTATTCTGCAAATTCATATTTCGGACAATTCCAGTTAGTGATTCTACAAAGTGTATGGGACTATTCTTAAGAACAGTGACATTTACTTTCAATAGTGCATCATTTTAATTATTTTGATTTATCTTTGGCATATATTGTTATTTATTAAAGTGTTAAATGTTTTAGAGTATTAACTTTGCCACTTGTCCGTCATAAGTCTATTTATAGACTGACCCCTTGTCCCTTGGGTCAAGCATGCACAGTTAGGCTTTCGAGACGCGACAGCCATACTTCCATGACGGCCATAGGATGTGTCGGCCATACCGTCACATCGTCCATGGGACATATCGGCCACACATTGTGAGACATATCGTCCACACTTTAAAACATAAAATATAAATAATAAAATAAGTATTTATTCATAATAATAACATTAATATGATTTTGTAGTATTTTTTTCTGTACAAGAGATCTTATTTATTCTTGTGTAATAGGAATGGATTAATTCCCTTAATTTTCATTACTTAATTATTTCAGGCTGTTAATTGATTTGCTTGATAATATTTCATTTCCATTTGATTTATTCTATTTAGTTTTCATATATTGAGCAATACTGACATTTGAGTTCCTTTATTTAGTGGCGTTTGCGATAATTTTGCAATGTTATCTATTTTTGCTTACCATTTTGAAAGAAGTTATTCAAACGAAATAATTAAGATATTTGAATATGAACTAATTGCCAAGGTCGTTAAAAACTTCCATTTGTTGTAACTAATTGCCTAAAGACTGGTTGCCTGTCTGAGTGCGATGCACATTAAAATAAACTACGATAAGACGGGTTGTCTGTCTGAATTTAAGCTGCATATGCAAGCCTCGTGGCGTCATGATGGCTAAGCTAACCTGGCTTTGGCATTACTGTTTGGAAGGGTTTCTGTCTAAATGTTATTAAGATGTTTTGATGTGTTAAATGTTGAATTGAATATGTTTTACTTTCTTTTCATTAAATTGTAATTTGTTTTGCTGCTTTGAGTATTATTTGAAGTGCCTTGGAATATACCCCATACACTGTATCCAGAACCATCCCCTCACATTTGGTCCCGCGAGGCGGATACAGTTGCTCCAGGGGTATATTGTTTATAAGTTTGATTCATTTTTTAAAATTTATATATATTTCTGGTCATGTTTCGGTTTGAAGAAAAATCTTGTTTGTTCGATGGTGTCAGCATTGATGTTACAGATTATGTGGTTCATTTTGAAACTGTTTCATTATGGAATGAGTGGACTGAGTTTGAAATGGCTTGTCAGCTTATCATTAATTTGAGAGGTGAGGCTCAGACAGTTTTACGTTTTCTAGAGAAGAAACATATGCAAGATTATCAGTACTTGAAAAGTTTGTTGGTTCAAAGGTTTAACCCCAAGGAAAGGGAAGCATATTTCAAAATTGAACTGAAAAATTGTACAAAAAAGGAAAGTGAAAATATTTCTGAGTTTGGTCAGCGGTTCAAAATTTTGGCACACAAGGCATATCCCGAGAGTTATTTTGATTTGAATTTGTATTTGGTTGATTTATTGATTTCAAAATTGGATAGTGAAATGGGGAAACATGTCGCTTTGAAACACCCCAATTGTTTGGATGATGCAATATGTTTGGCACTTGACTACGAAACAGTTTGTCTTACAACTGGCAATTTTATTTCTGAAAGTGTTGAAACTGAATCGTGTGACAAAAGTTTAACTTGTTCTGAAATTGTTTGTTCGGGTTTTGAGATATTGTCTAAATTTGTCAAGAAATACTTGAAGTGTCGGAGAAAACGTAAACAAAAGAAGTGCATGTTTCAACTGTAGTGAAATTGGTCATGTACGAGCCAAATGTCCTAATAAAGTGGTTAATGCCAATGTTGATGATGAAAAGTCGGATAATTGCGGTACTTTTGAAATGTTTTCAGAATCAGAGGTTTTAATCAGTGAAGATTTCTTTGGACTGGCATACTAAGAATGTTTTACCTTGAGGTATTTTCTTAGGGTTTTTGTGTATTTTTGTGTGTGTGCTTTTATAGTTGTTTGATTAAAATATTGTTCTCTAATTTTGTGGCAACAGTTCAAAGACGTGCTGCATGTCTGAATAACTGGTTTGTACAAATTTTCTTTTTACTTGGTTTAATTGGTGGTAAATACTAGTTTTAGGCTTGATCTGAAGGCAGGTGTGTAGTTTGTAGGATAGCTATTATAGTTTGAATTGGTTTATATTTTGGGTTTTTAATCAATTGTTTGGATTTGTAATCTCCATCTAGATATTTTGTATTTAGGGAGTTTATGGTGGTCTGATTTTGTGGCAGAAACCAATAGTAAAATTGTACGAATAGTTTAAAGTTAGGAACACTTCTTGCTTTTATAGAACGTAGCACATAGATGGACCCGATCCATCTCAAGTGGCACACAGCTGTGTTACTTTAAAAACAATGTTGGAGTGCTGAACCCGATGGTACATGTCAAACGTACAGTCGTGAGATCTACAATGGTGGACTTTAACCTGGTATTGCATAAACAGCGACTTTCGACCGTTACAACATTTATTCACCTAGATGTCCGCCCGATATTATCTGTAATCAGAAACAACTCGGGGAATTATAGCAATGGAGATTTAAAGAGCGCGTCCGTACAGAAGTGGCAGTTCAACCCTTAATGTGATGTGTGTATCTGTGTGCTGTGTTGTGACATTTTATGTGAAACTGGACATTAATTATGTATATTTGAATTGAACATTTCATGAACATTTATTTGTACATGTGTAATTTGTTGTTTGTGTCATTGGGAATCATACCGCAATCATACCACATTTTCTTTTTATATCTATTAATTGATACCTATGGTCCATTTATTATTTTTTTTTATTTTTTTTTTTTTATTTTTTTTTTTTTTAAATGAGCACTCAGACTGAAGGGTTTAGAAATTAATTTTAACACAATAATCACAATATGACTTAAGTTATAATTACAAAAGTAATAATTAGTATAGAATATTAATAATTAAGAGTTGTTATAGAGTGTTGAACATATATGCAAAGAAAGAAGCTGGGTTTGGGCTTTACTTATTACCGGATTTCCAGAGAGTTACCACTAGCTATATTTTAACCAAATAATTAGAAATAATGTATTCAAAATATTATTAGGATACAGGCCTCAACCTTCCTTCTCATGTTGGTGGAAGAGGTGTATGTGGCCAAATTATGTAATCATTGTGCTCCGAACATTAAGAGTATTTTATTGGAAAAAAATAACATATACACACAAATTATAATAAATAAGTATCATACTTCACTAAATTAAATTATTTTTATCTAAGAATATATCTCTATTTCTATGAAATGTAGTGTTAAGAGTATGAATTAAACCACCGGAATTGATAATATAACTAATTTGATAAACTGAATAAACATATGCATATATTGATGGGAATAGTTCCCATGGTATCTTAAATAACAAACAGTTTAATTCATTTAAAACAAAAGTTTCATCATTTATTTCTATTCTAATGAAGTCATTTATATATTTTCGAAATAGTCTTAATTTGTTACAATGTAGCAGTAAATGCTTTAAGGTTTCATTTTCCGAGTTACAGAAATAGCATTTCGGAGAAACGTTACTATAATTTCGTCTTTTTTGATTATCTTTAGTTAATAAGGAAGAGCATTATGCACAACTCTATAAATAAAGTCTTGCTGGTAATTACTTGTGATATTTCTAATATTACACCATATATCTGTGAAATCGACATAGCTGTACTTTATTTCAATTTTATGTTTATGATTATCTATTTCGAGAATTTTCTTATAAATATTTTTGGGGTTGAAACTTTGTAGGGTACGACATGATGAACAGCAATTTTCCAAATGAGTGCCACCGACATTTCTGGTTACTTTTATAAAGCAAGGTCGGTACATCAAAAAGACTGCTCAAACAGCTTGTATTTTTACAAGAATTTCACTACCAAATGTATGTTTGCACTCCGCTTGAACTCTAAGCTTGGGTGTTGTGTTTTTATAGTGATCTTGAATTGTATTTCCATTACAATTTCTTGACAAAAGCATAATTAATACTTGTGTTCATCAAAGAAGTAATAATAAGCAATCAACAATCTTCTTAAATTTCAAACTTAATCATTACTTGATTACCTTGTTTTATATTTCAAAACTGAACTTATTGTTTTAATTTTGACAGAAATTAGTCTCCCATTCGGATATAGTCATTCATATTTGTTCATTTTTGTTCTGTTTGTTATACGCAAGATATCAAAAAATCATTTAGAAAACAATATGATATTTTAATATTTTATTAGATTAAACACATTCATTTATGATATATATATAATGAGTAAACAAATGATATAACAAAATTAAACATGATAAATAATATAAAAACAGTAAAGTTTATTTAAAAGTTATAATAACCATCTATAAGTATCAAAATAATTCATATATAACATCTATATAAAAAAAAAAAAAAACCGTGGACGATACGTCTTCACAAAGTATGGCCGTTTTTGTAATATGGCCGTTTCATCTTTTCGGGGTATGGCCGTTTCATCCTATGGACGTCATGGCAGTATGGCCGTCACGTCCTGCATTGCACAGTTAATCCCCCCTAGCAAAAGCATGCCACACTGGTCCTCGGTGACATATCTCTGAGTCTGCTCTCAGTAAAGATATATCGAGAGTTTTATCACGGTGTTGTTTACAAAGCGAAAAAAGCACGTCATATTAGAATTGTTTGTTTACACTTACCTGTTGTTTCTAAATCAAAAACTACTACCGATTCTTCTCCTTCAAACTTCATCTTAGAAGGAATAGTTTCTGTGTCAATATGTTCTTGCACTTCTATTTCTCCTCCATAGGCGTCTCCCTCATTCACTGATTCTCCCTGATCATCTTTCAATTTCTTGGACTAGAAACAATACAAAAAAAGTTAAGAACAATTATGGAAGAAGTGACTCAGATGCAAATGTACTTAAAGTGGCATCTTAAGAACAATTCCCAAGTCAAACTGAACTGCTATCATTAGAAGTTTATTAGCAGTTATTTACCAGTTCTTCATATTTTTAGCAGTCTTTCAGCTGTTCATAGCATTCCATCTAATAGCAGTTTGAGAAACTGCCTTATTTCACCATTTCTTAGCATTCCTCTTACCATTCATCTTAGCAGTCTGGGTCTACCTTCTAAACTGTTGTCAATTTGTCAATTGGACAACAGTTATGACAGCAGTTCAATAGCAGTTTGATAGCAGTTTTGGTTTTAATCTTTGTTATAAAAATGCTTGGATCTGGCTGTGTTTTCAGCTTGATAGTAAACCTTTATTTGAAGGTTATTTGATCATTTTCAAATGTGCATTTGGCTCCAAGCTGTGTGTAAATACTTGCTAGTGAAAAACTGTACTTTTGTCAATTATGAAGTTTAATTTGGGCTAAATGGAATAATTTCTCACACCTGCAGTACAGTAAGTTGAAGTTACAGTTAATGCATGTGTATTTTCTGACATAACTTTGTAGGGGAAAACAGAAATAATACAGAAAGCCCCAAAAAAGGGATAGTTGTTTGTTCAAATAGAATATCTGATGATGATAGGATTGTAATAAAATACTAGCATATACTAACAGTGCAAGATGTTATTTGAAAATAAAAATATGAATATTTTAATATAATTTTGTAAAAAAAACAAAAATAAATCATATTCAAGAGTTGAAAAAGGGGGAGGGAATATTAGGGAAACCTAGGTCACATATAGCTGATTGTTTAATATTGACCAAACAATCCATTTAATGAAGTTAATATATGTTACTTAAATTTTTTTCAGAAAGTGGAAACATAATATGTTACATGTACTAAGAATTATTTTGTTTAATCCAAAAGAGAAAGAGGTGATAACTGTTTTCTTTTGGTCCACACAAAATATATATAGTAGAAGAGAAATTAGTAGTACATTTGGTAATTAAATAATAATAAAAATAAAATAACTTTTAATCTGAAAATCACTTAGTCAAGGTAATAAATAGTCTCTTAAGTAACCACTCTTATTGAATAAGTTGCTTTTTATAAGCACTGATATTTAAAGTGCATTATAATTCTTAACTGTTCCTATTATTCTGCCACTGACATAATTAATAAGGGGTATAAGGCCAGGTACAGTACTCACAAAGCATGTTTACACCCCTTAACAAGTCTGTTATTGGATTAAAATAGAGTCATTTGATTGCAGTTACTGCTCAAATCACAAATATAAGTTGGTACAACTTTTTGAAATTTCAACAAGACTTGCAGTAAAATATTAGAATTTTATTTTTGCATTCATATCTTGTACACTGTATATTCATGTGTACCTTTGTATTCCAACTTTTGACAGATCTGATAGCATTCCATAGCAGTTATTAGCAGTTTAGAAAGCCATATTAGGATGTACAACTTAGCAGTTTCTATGAATATTCATTATTGATAGCTGTTATTATAGCAGTTCTCATGAATATTCAGAGAAGATAGCAGTTTTTGAGTATCTCATTTAAATTTTTCGTCAAAAATAACTGCTAAATAACTGTGAAGGCTAAATAAACTGCTAAGAAACTGCTATGGAATGCTATTGGAATGCCTATATGCAAATTAACTATTGCCTTGAATTTGGCAACTGTGAATGCTAATGAACTGCTAAAGAACAGCTGTCGAGTAAGAACTGTGAATGCTAATAAACTGCTAAAGAACTGCTGTCCACTTTGACTTGGGTTACTATTCTATGTTGAAACAATTAATGTTAAACCTTTGAACAATGCCTCCTTCCAATCATAATTAAGAGCCAGAGAATCCTCCCTCTGTGGGTTTTCAACTGCAATGTTGAATATACTTAAAGGCTGCAGGCTACCCCTTAATGTGAGGATTCCTTATACTGTTTATTGAAGACATCCTGGGCTGTATGTTTATTTTCAATACCTTGTTGGGTTTTTGTCTCTTTTACACATTCCCCATTTCCATTCACTTTTCTATTCAACAGTACTCATCAGCGTGTGTGAAAACAGAACCTATGTCAATTAAGAGCCGGAAGTGAAAATAGAACCATTTAATTGTTACACATGCGTTATAGCCTACTAATAGACATATATATATCTACCAAAAAGATGATGTGAACTGTCACGATACAGGATTTGTTATCAAATTAGTAGCTGATATAAACACACTTTCTATACATTATCATTGGACATTATTAAACTGCTGAACTGATAATAATAAAATGCACGAATTAAATGGCAACATTTAAATATCTTTCTCTGTTAAAGACACATAAATTTATGTTCTGTTTGGCATGAATGAGAGTCTGGATGGGGTTAACAGAAAAGGGAATAATGGTAAAAAAGGTGCAGAATAAAGGGTAAAATAAATAAAGAATAGAGAAAAATTGGCAAAAATGATAATAAAAAAAATAGAGAAGAGTATGGTGAACAATTATAAAGAATAAAGAATAATGGGCATGCAAAATAAATAATAAAAAATGATCTCAAAAATTAAAGAATAAAGATATAAAGGACCCCCATCCAGACCCTCATGAATATTTGGTTCCAGTTCTATCGTAATTATTTACAAACGCTTGTTGCCCTTAATTTTGAAGATACAATTGCACCAAAAATAAAAAAAATTATTGAAAGCTTAGGTATTGTGTTGATGAACGCTTCACTCTGGGAACAGTATATATAGTTAATATATATGTTCCTGCTTCACTGTACCAGTAAAGTAAAAAAAAAATGTGTATTTATTTTATATCTGGGACTAATTAATAAACTTATCTATTAGTCCCAGTTTTATACATATTTAATTAGTCTTATTCAATATTAGAATGTAATATGTGTTTTTTTTTTCAAAAGATATCAGACAGAACGATCATGACACAATGGCTATAATGATACTAGTCTACATTTATGATTTCTAAAATATTAAAATACAATTACTATAATTACACAAGCATTTTCTCCCCCGTGAAAATTACTTTGATTGATATCATAGGGAACATGTGTACTAAGTTTCAAGTTGATTGGACTTCAACTTCATCAATCAAAGTGCTGGATAGCACCTGTGGAAAGTTTGCAACGGTAGATTGTAAAATTTCAAATAGGTTGTAAATGTGTAGATTGTGTGGTTAACTTTTTTTCCTACTTTAAAAAAAAATTACTTAATACAAGAAATAATTGTAACAGGATGCTGTTATGAAGTCTCCCAAACAAAGCTCCCATAATTAGTCATTCCCACAGTCACTGACATTGGGCAAAGTCCAGTACAAATTGGTTTAGTCTAGTGAAGTGATATGCATAAGTGACGCCTATGGATTACCCGGGAGGCTGTATGTCATTCAAATCTTCTTGAAATCATGAACAGAAAAATTTATAATTTAGGGGTGGGGATCTGGATCGTTTACAAGTTCTCGAACAGGAAGGAGGTTGGGATGAAAGTGACCCTAGGGAACTAGCCTTTTATTTCATCTAATTTGTTTTATTAATCCGTACAAGAATATATATGGTTTCAGGGTGGGGATCTCGACCGTTTACAAGTTTTCAAAAAGAAGGGGGTTGGAGTGACCCCAGGGGACTCACCTTTTATTTCATTTGATTTGTTTTATTGTCCACTACACGAATCTATAATATGGTTTCAGGTTGGGGATCTTAACTGTTTACAAGTTCTCAAAACAGGATGGGGTTGGGTAACACCAAGGGACTCCCCCTGTATTTCATTTTATTCATTTTATTGTCCCATACAAGAATAAATATGGTTTAGGGGTGGGGATCTCGACCGTTTACAAGTTCTCAAACAGGAGGGGGTGGGACTGACCCAGAGGGACTCCCACTATATTTCATTTGATTTGTTTTGTTGGCCCATACAAGAATATACATTGCTGAGGGGGTGGTGATCTGGACCGTTTACAAGTTTTCAAAAAGGAGGGGTGGGGTAACCCCTGTGGACTTCCTCTACATTTCATTTGATTTATTTTATTGTCCCATACAAAAATATATATGGTTTATGGGTGGGGATCTCAACAGTTTACAAATTCTCAAACAGGAGGGGTGGGACTGACCCAGAGGGATTCCCACTATATTTCATTTGATTTGTTTTTTTGCCCCATACAAGAGTATATATGGTTTAGGGGTGGGGATCTCGACCGTTTACAACTTTTCAAAAAGAAGAGGGGTGGGGTGACCCTTGTGGACTATATATTTCATTTGATTTATTTTATTGTCCCATACAAAAATATATGGTTTATGGGTAAGGATCTCAACAGTTAACAAGTTCCCAAACAGGAAGGGGGTGGGAGTGACCCCAGGGGACTCGCTTTTTATTTTATATGGTTTGTTTTATTGTCCAGTACAAGAATATATATGGTTTTGGGTTGTGGATCTTGACTGTTAACAAGTTCTCAAAACAGGCTGGGGTGGGGGTGACACCCAGGGACTCCCCCTATATTTCATTTTATTCCTTTTATTATCCCATACAAGAATATATATGGTTTAGGGGTGGGTATCTCGACCATTTTCAAGTTCTCAAACAGGAGGGGGTGGGGCTGACCCAGAGGGACTCCCACTATATTTCATTTGATTTGTTGTGTTGCCCCATACAAGAATATAAATAGTTTCCGGTTGGGGATCTTGAATGTTTACAAGTTCTCAAACAGAATGGGGTGGTTTAGGTGAACCCATGGACTCAACCTATATATTATTATGGGCCGGCACTAAGCCAGTCCATTATATGATATGGGTTTGAGATTGTTACATGTGTTTCTGCGGATCTATATTTTTATTTTCTGCGGTATATGAAAATTAAAGATTTTAGGTAATTGAAAAAGATACATTTTTATATTAAGTTTTATATAAAAAGAAGATGCCAACTATTTATAACAATGAATGTTCATTGTTTTATTATGCACAGAATGCGTGACCAGTATTTGGGGATTTCCCAAACCAGGTTATTTTTAGAAAGGTAAACAAGGTACTAAGTTCAGACAACAACTCGTCGTCGGAACATGGGAAATGATTTATAGGTTGCGTTTTGTTTCTCAAAATAGTTATTTTATATTCTATTTTGATTATTACATATATATACTGTTTTCGTCATTTAGAAAAATAATCATTATAAAGATATCTTTACTTTCAACGTAAACAGGAGTTTTTTTAGGTAACATATATAGGGCTTACTGTTGATTTTGAAACTCTATGAATTCACATTTATATTCAACCAAACAGATAGGCCGAGATCCATACCTTTATAAGTTTCAAAACAGAAAAGGTGTGTTTGAAAACAAATAATCACGTACTGATATATCTTTTAAGGCAAATGCAAGTCTTTAATGTTTCAGTAACTGAAATTGATTTTCAAACCTCTCAAATATCCACTTGGTGTTTGTTAATAATTTGGAATTCTACAGAACAACCAAACAGATTGCAATGAAAATATTTTGTCAAGGGTTTGTCAGTTGTTACCAAGAGAATAATTTGCTATACTGTCTGTTAGCTTTCTGATTTTTTAATTGTTGTAGTATGTAGCAGTTTTTTAGTCTGTCGTATATCCAATAAATTATGAAGGGATATGGAGTAAATGTAAATGAGACAATATTAATATCAATATGTGGTAAAACCCAAATATGGAACGTTTTTATTGTTGTCCTTCATCTTCAAGTCACCATGAGGCATTCAACGATGATCAACTTTTCTCATAACTGGTAGTAAGTTTGAGCAGAATTCATGGTTAAATATCATACAAAGCTACATTCCTATTTTTATGACTGTTTGTTGATACTTTTAAATTTCACCAAAACCGAATAGAAATGAAAGCATTATGTCTAGGATTTCTCAACCTTTACTGAGAGGAATAATTTTACATTTGTTTGATTTACGATTTTTATTTTTTTTATTAAAACAAAGTCCCGAAAGTGATATTAATATAGTGCTTCATCTGTGCATCACAAAGTTAAAGTCCATCTATCTGTGGAAGTATAAGTCATAGTTTTTGATATTTGGTTCATATCATGCGTCTTGAATAAAAAAAAGGTAATCTTGACCTTCATTTCACAAATGAGTGACTGATTAAAGTTTGCGTTAGAGTCCATATCTGAGATACAACTCATAGAGATATAATGTTTTGTCAGTAGATGCGTCTGTAATAGTCAGAATCAAGGGTCCTAAAAATATGTCATCTTGACATAAAATTCATGGATGAGTAAATGAGATGAAAGGCTACATTTAAGTCCATACAAATATTTTGTCAGTAGATCCAACTTTGAAGGTCACGATTTTCAAAATCAAGTCTTGAAAATGAATAAGATGATATTCCATTTAATCAACTGCACTTAAAATATATTTGATTTCATCATGCAACTGCACAATAAAGTTGTATTTTATAGCATTATCATATCTAATTGGATTGGACCAGTTCTGGCAATTGAGGATTAAAGTCAACTCACATACAGATTAATTTTTATATAATACTTTGAACTTTTTTTTACACCAAAAGCCTCCATATTTCCGGCCCAAAAATTTGGTGTGTGCACCAATTAACTCTCTTGTATGATTTGTTTTATGGTCCTGTGATCATCACTGAAAACCGTGTGTGTCTGTCACTTACTGTTTTCAAGTTATATATATAGTCCTTTGAAAATTTAAAAAAAAAAATCCCATTGGGTTCTATAGTAAATTCCTCCCTTTTGTTGACCCCTCAAAATACCCCTAAATAGACCTCCAGAAGAAAAATAATAAGAACAAGAACTGAGCAAAAACTTTGTTTTGAAGTTTTAATAGCAAGAAGTATAAATTAATTAAGATTTTTGTTATAGTCCTATTTTCTGAAGCCCAATATATAAAAGGCCGAGTTTACTATAGTCCGAGTTTGATGTGGGCCGAGATGAGATGAGATACTTTTGAAACACTTAGGCTTTTACATCTTTAATAAACATTTGTAAAAATCGTAGTAAGCGTCGGAAAATGTTCATTCATGAAATATTTTAAACACGTATTAATTTTCTCTTCAACCGGAGGAAGGTAGGAAACAATTGAAACCGGGATTATAGTACTCCTGTTTGGAGGCACACATATATAGATCTGCCGCAAGTCTGGAGAATACCGATAAAAGCATAACGTAGAAACTGCTGTCTCGTGTGTGTATTGATTTTACTTTCTGCGTAGCGCAGCTCTGTGAAGTAGTGTTTGTGATAGCCATTTTCAAAATGAAGTTGAATTATTTGAATTATCGATGAACATATTTCAGTACATTTTAATTCAAGCTGTAAGCTAATCAAAATAGAAGAGCTCAAAATTTCAAAAGCATTTTCCTAGAGTTATAGTTTTCAAGCACCAGTACTACATTATCTAGAAGTAGTACACACATCCTAAAGTAATAGATAGTCTGTCCCTTCCGTTTAGAGGCTGATCGATGCCTTAAGAAAGTTTATTGCTATATAGCAAGCTATAGCAAACTTTCCAAAAACTTTGATCAAAAACATTAAGCCTGAAGCAGGACAGAAGGACAACAGACAAGAGGACTGATGCACAAACTTGAATACATAAAGCTCCTTGGTGAAGCATAAAAAGCTGAAAACACTGTATTGAATATTTTAATTTAAAAGAAACAATGGATGTCATGAATGTAACTCACAGTGAAGTAACTTAATTAGCCGTTGAAAATGTATGAAAACTCCATGAATTGAACAAAATGTTTGTTTCCTATGACATAAAAACACATATCTTAATATTAGAAAAGATTAAATTGCTTACTGTTTGAACTTCTTGTCCATCAGGAACTTCTGTTAGTGGAATACAGGCAGAAATAGATCCATTGACAGAATTTATCTGAAATATTCTGCTCTGAGCTTCTGGTCCAACAAAGTAATACTCAATTGCTCCATTTACTGGGTCCTGATAAGTGAGAGAAAAGCTTTATAATTTGCAATTATTTATATAAAAAACTGAAGTCATAGTACATTAGGCAACAATTAATGTCCATTATCTTGAGGCCAATTTTCCACAAGGATATCAAATGTAAATAGCAAATCTTTTTCTTAATAATGCGTACTTCTGTAGTTTTCCATATGTAAAACAGGTAAACATATTTTGTTTATAATTTGAAAAAAAAAATAATCAAACAAGATATCCTTAGTAAGAATTCTGCTACGTGATTTCAAGATTTTTTTTTCAAATCTTTACCCACAATGCTTCAGTAAACAATTACACTTACAGGCCTATCATTATCAACAGCTTGTACTCTAATGATGTTCTGAAATAGTGGAACTGATTCTGATGTAGAAACAGCATAACCTCCAGATGGCTCCACAAATGATGGGGCTGTTGACAGTCACTGTCACTACTGCGGTGGCACTCTTTGGACTGGCTGTTGTGTCTTTGGCAATTACATTAAACTAAAAAAAGATATAACAGTATCTAGAATAAGAACTATATTTTGGAAATAGAATCAGATGATTTTCAGTTTAATGATTGAACATTTTTCATCAAATTGAATGTAACTTTATAAACACTAAAAAAAATTATAGAACCATAGTCATGTCATGAACTAGTACTATAAGGCATTAATTTCTTATTTATTAAATCTTATAAAGTCATCAAGATACGTAAAACAAATCTTCAACTTTTTGAATGACACTCTGTATCTTGATTTAAAAAAAAAGACTGACTTAATAATTCCTTTCACAGTTGTGGTGTGATCATCAGTTAACAAAAATTTCAAACGTATGCTAGAGGTTTTCTTGAACTTATAGTGAGGTGAGTCTTTTTGCTTCTTGTTGAAGGCCTCACTGTGACTTTGACAGCAATAAAAAAGCTGTTCATTGCTTTTTGTGTATTTTTTTGCTGTGCATGGACTGATTTTGTGCTTTGATTGATATTCCATATCCTATTTTTTTATTTCATTGTCAATAATACCTTTTGGTCCAACACAAAATTTCATGATTTTCATTTTGAAACAAATCAGATATAAACTTACAGAATAAGATGTTGGTTGAGGTATGCTGGTATCCTCTGACATCCTCTTGTTGATTGTGATGAGGCCAGAGTAGGGATCTATGGTGAAGTATAATCAATTGTTGGTTCAATGGAAAACACTTTGTCTTTCTCAGGAGACTGAAATTAACAACAAATTATCAATTTAAGGATGTTTGCTACTCTGTTTAAAAATAACAATCTTTTCAAAAGACTGTTTTTAATTGATAGTTTATAAATGAAGAAACTAAAAAAGCAGGAAAAAATGGAGGGTCTGTGTGCTTGTTTTGGAGTTATAAGCCATTTAAAATTTGGCGGAAATAACTATGTCTGGATTTTTCATTCAATTTACATTGGTGCCTTTTTTCTTTCAAAAACAATGAAAAAATAACAGGATTATATAAGAGTTTCAAAGATTTTATTTTAAACTATATGTAATCAAATTATGGAAAGAAAAGTAGGGGTTAGTGGGCAAATTTTTTTATGACACTACATTGATAATACTAGAGGATTCCGAATATAATCCCAAATATTCAAAAACAAGAGGAGCAAACATCCTTAATATATAAAGTTATGACACACAATTACATATATAAATATACTCAAAGCTATATCCTGTTTAGTCACACAGCTCTGAATAAAGAACTACTTTTATGGTCTCCTGTTCTCTTAGAGTGTTGGAGGTCTTGCGTTCTATCAACAGCTGGGTCAAAACAAAAGACCACTTCTTTTTTTTCTTTTTTTTGTCAAACACATTTTTGGCAATCAAAATCAAAAAAGAAAAAAAAATCTTAATCTATCCTACCACAATATGCTCATTTGTCCTTTTGACAGAAAAAAAACCTGTAAAAACAAATGAGCCGTATAAAACCACTAATTTTAAGGGAGCAACCATTTGATTTTTATAAGGGCTAGGATGACGAATTTTGTCCTGCATTTCTTTTTAGTTTTTTACATAAATTGTCATCCTACTTTTTTTTTGCAAAGGGTCTCAGCCTGCCTTTTTTTTACTAAAAACTCCTGTCCTGCCTTTTTTTTACTCAAAACTCCTGTCCAGCCTTTTTTAAAATTCATCCTAACCCACCCCTAAAAAAAATCAAATGGTAGCCCCCTACGTTAAAATATATAAAATTCAAATTAACAGTCAAATCCCCGTCAGTAGCCCGAACACTTACTACAGATGTTCTAATACCATCGTAATCATTTCTGGAGGCAGAGTAAGATGTAGGTATAAATACTGGTCCATTCTGGTTCCTAATTACTGTGATCTGAACTGTGGCATAGGCTTTATTATCAGGCTCTAAGGTGTCATAGGCTTCAACTAGGAGCTGTAATAGAGTAATACATTGGAAAATGCATTATTGGAGAAGATAGACTTAATGATAATCGAATTATTACAGCCTACCTTTTGGGAGCACTTATTAAGAGTTAACCCCTGATTTTGATGGGGTCATGTTACACAGTCTTTTAAGTTTTCTATAGGATGTTTTGTTATTGTTATTTGTCCTTTCAGCATTTACTTTTTGCATGGTGTTGCCTTCTTTTACTGCACTTCTGATTTAGGAATGCCTCCTTTGTATTTTCTCATTTTCTTTTTACAGCAGAAATGTAACATGTATGGCAGATTCAAGGTTGGTTAAGGTGATACATCCCTTCCCCATCAGTCTTCTTTGGTTTTACTGTGTTTATGGGATGCTAGCGCTGCCTCTATTGGCATTTGCTCACTTTTCCCACTTATTCATATTTCAGTACAAATATATAATCATAACTGCAGTGAGAATATAACAGGAAAGCTAAAAAAATCTTCTAAAATGTGTCATATCTCAGTTAAGAATATGAGATTTATGCATTCCTCAATCGAAATTAGCCGAATTTCAAGAGAGTCTAAATTCTTCTGCATTTTATAAAGACATTTTCATATAAATATTTATATTTTGTATCTTGTATATCTACTTACAACATATATTGGGTTTGTATCTGAATTATCATATAGACTTTTCTTTAATGATATCTGTCCGCTAACTGGATTCAATCGGAAATAGTCTGTACCAGGTTGGAAGCCTATCAGACCGTAATGTATCCGACCCTAAAATTAAAAGAAGCAATAGGAAAAAAAAATATAGAAAATAAAATTGTATACTTTATCACAGTTTATAGATATTCATCTACACTGTTTTGAATTATTCAATTTAAATGGTAGGTACATGTAAGTGATAATTTCTAAGATTTTAAGTTTTGTTATAAACAAGGAATTATTTGAATCTGGAATAATTTTGAATTCTGGAAAATTGATGAGAAATATATGATGAAAACTAACCCAACTAAATAGGGTTAGCCATGCGTGCATGGCTAAGGTGGGTTAGTTAGTTCATACTGAAATGATAGTGAAAGTAAAATTAACGTTAGCCATGCACGCATGGCTAACCCTATTTAGTTGGGTTAGTTTTCATCATACATTTCTAATCAATTTTCCAGAATTCAAAATTATTCCAGATTGAAATAATTGCTTGTTTATAGGGCTTTTACTATGATCACAGTGAAATTAAGCTTTCATACTGTGAATTTTAATATAGAAGAATATATTTAACATTGTTCAGGATAACACATATTGACTGAAAAATACTGGTTTCTTTTATAGAAGTATAAACTCAAGACCTGTTATGACGGAACAATTTTTCATCAAATCCCATCCCAGAGTCTATTTTTGCCATTTTTGCTCAAAATATTACATTAAAACATATTTGCAGATCAAATCAACTGATCAAACCTTCTTGTCATCAAAAGATAAACATAAATAATTTTTAAAATTTTAAATTTAAAATTTATCAAAATCTAAAATTGTTCCAAAAAAATACCTGTATATCACTGTCAGTTGCTTGTACTGTTTCCACAGTCACATTGACTGCATGACTTATAAATATCTGTTTCTGGTAGTCGGACAAAGCGAAAGTAGGTGGTCCTTGTAGATGTGTAACAGTTATACGAACTGTAGCCTCCACCGCCTTTATGTGTCTGTTATCAGAGGCTTGAACTTTGAACTGAAATTGTAAATTGTTGGTAATATTTTAAAGGGATTACCATAGTTACCAAACAGTTTAAATAACGTATTTGATCGTATAAAGTCAGCACTTTTTTACCCAAAATATTTAGTTGGTACAAGGGGTGAGGAATAAATATACTACAGACGTGTTTTTTCAAATATCATTTTTTTTTTTCAAATTGTTCACTTTTTGTACTTAACTCTTTTTATGTTCGACACGGAAAATAATAAATAATTTCAATATATGAATGACCCTATCACATGTTCTGCCAATATAAATTAGAAGGTTGACCTGAAATGTATGATAATGATTTCAATATATACAAATTAGTTTCCAGATCACTCCTAAAAGATATAGTGGAACTAATGTATATATGAACACAATGTGTTCATAAAATTTGAATGTGTAAATTTTTACAAAACAATATTTTCCTTTGAGGTAAAGCGTGAAACAAGTAAAGTTATGCCTTTTTTTATTAGGGATGTCTATTAGGGATGATCAATTTAAACATACTTGGTGTTCTTTGGAGGCCATTTTAAAATGGGGGTATCCACCAATATTTAGAAAAAAAATATAATTTCATTTATATTTTCACCATGTTCACTCGTGTACATCTATTATTTTACTGTACTTGACACTCTATCATAAAGCAGATCTTAAAGTGGCTTTCCTGAATTTCATGTATGTTTTAAGTAAACAGACTTTTGTAACTGGGATTGGTGGACATTAACTCTCAATAATCTAGAAAAGATCAAATTTTGTAAATCACATGTACAAATGTAGGATATAAACGACATCAAATCTAAAATACATGTTTGTATTGTAAAAAAATCTTTAGTTTTATCATATTCAATATATATTGTACATATAAACAAACCTGGTTAAATAAATGTCTTTTATATCTATTCTTTCATTTAATTTGTTTTGTACATAAATCAGGTAATTTAGTTTTTCTCCTTAAAATTGTTTTACATTTGTTATTTCAGGGCCTTTTAAAGTTGACTATGCATGTGTTTTGTTCATTGTTGAAGGCAATACATATGTACAGTGTCTGTCTATGTTGTGATGTTACACTGTTGTTTCAGATAAGGGTGAAGGTTGGTACCTATCAAAACGTTCAATCCAGCTGCATTTGTTTGCACCTGTCCTATTAGTCAGGAACATGATGCTTAGTGGTCGCCATTTGTTGATGAGGTTCATAAGTCTTTCTTGTTTTTTATATAGATTTGACTGTTGGTTTTTCTATTTGAATGGTTTCACACTTGTCATTTTTGGGGCCCTTTATAGCTTGCTGTTTGGTGTAAGCCAAGGCTCCACATTGAAGACTTTGACCTATAATGATTTTAATACTTTTACTTTTACAAATAGTGACTTGGATGGAGAGTTGTTTCATTGGCATTCATTTAACATCTTCTTATATATATATATCTAGTGACCCATAGTTGTTAAATTTTATATCATTCACTGAATGTTACTGTCAAGTTTTTCATCAGTCAAATGTATGAATGGTGACAGAACTATAATATATTGTTCAATGTACATGATTACTGTAACTTACTCATATCACTCATTCAATGTTTTAAAAGTCCCTGTCATTTTACATGTTAGTGATGTTTTATATAATAACATAACAACTAGATTTTTTAAATGGTTGTCAAACTGTTATAGATCAATGCATAACCTCCGATTTTTTTTTTAAATTTACCACTGACGGAGAACATATCAATCTATTATAGTTCAGTAATTTTCGTGTCTGCCATTCCATTAAATGACTCAAGAAAAAAATCCAAAAAAATGGGTAACAATTGTATCGAAAAGAGAAAATCGAGTACACCTTTTTATGTTAGGGCGTGTTTGAGTTGAAAAATTTGTCTTGAAAACGTACAAAGCAAGAATATTTGATACATCATCTCGCTTCAGGTTCTATCATTTTTATATATCAAAGCTACAGGTTGACTTTATAACATTAAAAAATCACAGTACTAAAAGATGAAATATATGGGTCAAGTGAAATACCTATCTAATGAATCACAAAAGCAGAGTAGGTGTGTTCGAATAGCTAATTTTTTTTTACTAAAAGTACTTGACGACAGT